ATAGCCTATAACTACATAAACATTATAACATGCATTTCTATTCTTTGTTTGTGTAGGTTTATATAAAAACACATGGAGAGCATGTCGGATTCAGGATCTTCATGGATGCCTTCCTTCTGTCCCTTATACGTAAAGTGAGTATTACCCTCACTATTTATGCATACAAGTTATATTAAGTAATAATAATGTTAATAAACATCTGGTAAATGTTATTAAATCTGGTAAATAATGTTATTAAACAACAAGGTCATTTACCTTCATAGCCATTAGATGGCACTCTAACATAGAACGGGTGGAGGCGTGGACATCAAAAAAGAAGAAATTAAGGAATGTTACAACGCTAATTTTAGTCCTTACAATAGTATTGCTGATAGGTTTGTGGCAATGTCCCAAAGTAGTTTAACCAATGGAAAAGAAACATTATTACTTCTATTCATTAAGGATGTATTCAATTGATCAAAAGTCACAGAAAATACATAAAAAATGTTACGAAAATTTGTTTTAAAAAAGCTGTTCTTTTAAGCTTTTTCACCAAGGAGTTCTAAAAAATGTATCACCGTTTCCACAAAAAATATTAAGCAACACAACTGCTTTCAGCATTTATATTAATAGAAATGTTTCTTGTTCTCCAAATCAGCATATTAGAATGATTTCTGAAGTATCATGTGACACTGAAGACTGGAGATGAAAATTCAGCTTTGCCTTCACAGGAATAAATTACATTTTAAAATACATTAAAATAGAAAACATTTATTTTAAATTGTAATAATATTACACCATATGACTGTTTTACTGTATTTTTGATCAAATTAATTCAACCTTTAAAGAGAAATACATTAGCATAATTTTCAAACAGATTAAAAAGTCTTAATGACCCCAAAGTTTTGAAATACATTTTGAATAATGTGTTATGTGTTTTGTGTTATGTTTAATGACTGATTAGTGCAATTTCATTACTGAAAAATTAACAGTCCATTTATGTTTTTGCGTGTGACCAGGTCAAGCTTCCAGACATTGAGTTTTTTGTTAATTTGGAGGACTGGCCCCTGGAGAAAAGACAGGCCTCTGAGAAGCCCAGCCCGATATTTTCATGGTGTGGGTCCAATGATACACAAGACATTGTCATGCCGACATATGACCTCACTGAATCTGTATTGGAGACTATGGGCAGGTAAAGAAACTCTTGTGACTCTCGGAGATGCAGATAACATCTTTTTATGGAACAAAAAACTTTTTATGAATTTTTAAGGAACTCTATGATTTAAAATCTGATTTAAATTAGGAAATAAACAGAACTTTAATTTTAATTCAAAATGCTAAAAAAAAAAATTCATATGATATAATTGATGTTGAGTATGAGTGAGTGATAATACTTAAAATGTCTGTCCATGAAAACGAGATGCAATATTTGTGCTAACATTTACATAATTTTTGTGACAGAAATCTGAGGGGATGCATATAAAAGTTCAGTGATTTGTTGAGGAAAAAACATGGATCATTATATTTTAGTTCATAACAACATGAAATTACATTTCTGATTATTTTCCTCGTCTGACTGATTAAAATATGTTTTGTCCTTTGATCATTTGTTGTGTGGCAGAGTGAGTCTGGACATGATGTCTGTTCAGGGACACACAGGTCCAGCATGGGAGCAGAAGATCAGCAAAGCATTCTGGAGAGGGCGAGACAGCAGGAAAGAGCGTCTTGAGCTGGTTAAACTGGCGCGGGCGAACCCTGACATGCTTGATGCCGCCCTAACCAACAACTTATTTTTCAAGCACGATGAGAGCCTATATGGGCCCCTCGTCAAACATGTGTCCTTTTTCGACTTCTTCAAGGTGCATGGATTTCACAGAACTTCAGTACACACAGCATAGATCCTCAATTCAATTAATTCACATATTTTCAGTGTTTTATGTAGTGTTATTTTTACCTGAGGTGACTTGTATTTTTGTCTTTGAACAGTATTAGTACCAGATAAATGTGGATGGGACAGTAGCAGCCTACAGGCTGCCTTACCAGACAGTGTGGTGTTCAAACATGACTCCATCTATTATGAGCACTTTTACATGCAGCTCCAGCCATGGGTGCACTACATCCCCTTCAAAGCTGACCTCAGTGACCTACTAGAGAAGATCCAGTGGGCTAGAGACCATGATGAGGAGGTACATTATCTCCATTCATTCTCATGTGAACACAAAATATTGCATATTAAAATGTGTGGGAGCACAGACTTTTTTTTTTTTCAGTTCTATATTATTTGAATTATATATATATATATATATATATATAATGTATATATATAGCAGAAACAATATAAGACACTAATTTTCAATAATTAGTTTAATTAATCTTCTGTGTGATATACAGTGGGTATAGAATAGAATCAGCCCCCTTTAAAATAATCACATTTTGTTGCTTTGCAGCCTGAAATGAAGACGGTGTGTTTTGTTTTATCCAGCTGTATTTAGTATTTACTCAGTGCATCTTATAACACCCAAGTGAAAGATATAATACCGGCATGTCAAAAAAAACAAACAGAATCACTGAGTTGGAAAAAGGATTACCCCCTCATGTCAGTATTTTGTTGAACCACCTTTTGCTTTAATTACAGCCTTTAGTCTGTGTGATATGTCTCTGTCTCTACTAACTTTGCACATCTAGACTTTGCAACATTTGCCCACTCTTCTTTGCAGAACTGCTCAAGTTCAGTTCAATTTGATGGTGTCCGTTAGTGGACTGCAGTCTTCAAGTAATTTCACAGATTTTCAATGGGGACATTAACTTTTTTCTCCTTCAACCACTGGATAAATACAGCTGGATAAAGCAAAAACTGTGTCCGTCTTCATTTCAGGCTGTAAAGCAACAAAATGTGATTATTTTAAAGTGGGGTGATTATTTTCTATACCCACTGTATTTTATATAATATAATGGATGAATGATTAGCATATCCCAAAAGTACTGAATTGGCTGATTACACTGATTATTAGTGAGAAAACTAATAACCATTAAATAAAATATGATATGTATTATATAAAATAATTAATATAATATATAATGTATTATTTTTACATTTATGTATTTTGGGAGAATTACAATTGCAATCACAGATCATGCGGGAATTGGTTAAATTTGATCACAGAGTCCTGGGAGAAGTGTATGGTGTAATTTATATTCATTTTAATCTATTAACAAAGTACAAAAATAGAAAATGCTCAATTATTTTTTAGACGCATGTGTGCAGTTGTTGTACAGATTGCACTGTTTAAAGCATGACTGCTGCAGCTAACTGCACAAACAATCCTGCCACCTTTCTGTTTTTCTCTTCTGTTTAAAGGCAAAAAGGATCGCCCTGGCAGGTCAGCGGTTTGCACAAACTCATCTGATGGGTGACAGTATATTCTATTACTACTTCAAACTCTTTCAGGTATTTTTTTTCTTTGGTTCAGTGCTCTTGTGTGTCTATTGTGGCAGTGACTACACCGTCAGTCACTGTTTCGCTGACACTACAGGCCTTTGTTCCTTTGTTTTTTCTCTTTATCATTTTCTCTATTCACATTTTTTGATTTTATGAATTTATCAGTGTGTATATATTTCTTGTCTTGATCTTCCATCTTCGTTCAAGTTTTATGTGTTGATCTCAAGGACACAAATCACAAGGGCTAGCGCACATCTTGCCATCTGCATGGCACACATACTGTCTGTGTTGATAAGATGGTAGTATGACTAGAAGCACTTCCCTTTATCATGTAAAGACTTGTGTTTCTGTAAGACTCTTTCTAGGTCTGCTCTGGGTATTTACACACTATTTAACGTTTTTATTGTTAGGGTTAGGTACAAAAAATAAAGTGTATATACACTTTTTATGTGTAGATACATACATAATTTTTTCATTTTTGTTACACATATTTTTCTTTTTATCATATTTTTAACACTCTGTGATCATAGAGGCATTCACCCCACTAAATATATTCTTTTTTTAGTTGGTCCCAAGTCTCCTGTGTGCTCACAGTAGTCACTGAGCACACGTACCCCTGAGTTCATGAACCCTTTATGGTTTTCCATAACCATCGACTGGAAACATTAATCTTTAAACACATGTTCTGGCCTCAAAGCCCTTCTCAGCAATAAACCCGTGTGCGTTTGAGGTGTGGAAGTGTTGGAGGTCAAGACCACAGCGGCTACTTGAATTTTATGTGATTCATACTGCTGATAAAGATGCTTGTTTAGTGTGAATAAATAAAATAAATAAATAAAAACTACATAAAAGTGCTTCACCAGGACAAAGAAAGTAAGAGGGTGTGTGATTGGATAGAAAGATTACAAATGGTAAAATTATGTAGCTGAACTTGCATATTGTGAAATAAAGGTAATATACCTTGTAATATCTTTCTGTTGAGTTTTGACAGTAAACTTTTGTACACTAAATACAATTTCTACACTCATCCAGCTCTGTGTTTTTTTGTTTTTAGAAGTACGCTGAACTGCAGGTCACTGAGGCCAAGGTTCGAGATGGTATGGAGCTGGTGGAACAGCCAAAGTACGAACTTTTCATTTGTTATTGTGAAAGATAAAAAGGTCTGTGTTCTTGGTATTAAACAAAATCACAAAAATGTGTGTATTCATTTGTATTAATTTAACCTATTTTACACAATAATAGAGATTGTACTGACCATACTCAATGTATAATAATAGTCATCAGTGTATAATAATAGCACAACATTTCTAGATTCCATCAAAATAAAATATCCTTCATAGCTTCATACAGATTAAGCACTTTTTTCACTTTTGTCCATACAAATATTTCCATTTATACATTTTATACTATTCATATTGTTAAAAATTACTGTTCAGCTTTGAATTTTCAGCATAATAAAACATTTATTGTTAAGAAACAACAGTGAACAATTTACCACCATATGGTATAAAATTGTACCAATACTTTTAATTAAGTATCTAATGGATTTATTATCATTTCATAAAGCACACAAACTGGGTTTATGAGGGCAATACACTTTTTATGACATGGATTGATCAACAGATTACTCTGATAAAATGTTTATATGAATTGCATTTACTCTGGTTCATTTCTAAGTGTTTGTTTTGTTTTTGTATAGGTCAGAGATGAGCTGTAAGAGACCACCTATTTCATTATGTAACAGCAGCCATTACATTTAGATGGATTTTCAGGTTTCTGAGACCACAGACTTTGTGCATTAAGTGTCTTGTGACTGCAATGTCTTAATTAAATGTTTCTCTTTTTGTATTAAATCTTTGTATTTCTATACTCTTGTTGGTCTGGTTTATATGAATTATATATTATAAACATTATATCCAACTTAACACTTTTTGTAAACGGAGTGGAAAATAATTTGTTTACAAAACGATTTTGTTGCATTGTCTAATGAACTTCGTTTTTAACACGGTTTGAGAGCTTTTTATTTATATGAATATCGCAGGTGAATGTGAGAATCCCGTTCGAGCAGAAAGAGCTGGACAGTGTGTTCACGGTCCCTGCTGACGTCAGCACGGAGGGAGACCTGCACTTCAAACAGCTGCAGAGCCTCGCCCGCGCTCTCGCCCGTGCCTGCGATTCACCTGCAGTGTGGTCAACATTCTGTACAGAGTCAGAGCTTAAAGCGCCGTTGTAGTAAGCACTTATTTTTCATTATTATATGCACCACCATACACATAAAATTTTTATATTGCAACTGCATTTTATTCATGTATTCGTTTTTTTAATAATAAAACAAAACTAGAAAAAAAATATTATGAAATGTATTAGTAGTAGTCGAAATTAATAATAATATTTTAATATTAAATACATATTCCTTGCAATAAAACAAAGTATAAACATATAAAATGTATTATTATTATTATTACTATAATAAATTAATAATAGTATTTACTATAATAAATACATAATCCTTGCAATTTTCCTTAAAGTCACCATGAAATTAAAATTGAAAATTCTTATTTTTTAATACTGTATACTACTGAATACTCTAGTGTTTATTATAAATAATTTATCCATGCACTTCATTATTTTTTTTTAAATTCATGTGCCCTCGTAATCTTTAATCAAAAACGTTAACCTCCCCTCCCCCTCAAAACGACTCATCTTCTCTTCCGGTCACGAGCTATGGCTCAAGATGGAGCTAGTGACGTGAGAGGTAAACGCTGGGATAAACTACAGGGGGAAAAGCTGAAGCTGATGCTTCACTTTATAGTACTGATTTTACCCCTAAACATTGAAAAGATATTAGGATATTACGACAACATTACTCTTAGGACATCGCAAACTAATTTTTTTCATTAATATGACTTAACCTGATGGAGGACGCGCTCAGTCATTCAGGCAGTCTCTCTCTCTCTCTCTCTCTCTCTCTCTCTCTCTCTCGCTGTTTAGGCATGTTTTGTGCCGTTGATCGTCGTCGTCATCCTTAATAAATAAAACATTTATTCATGCTTGGGTGTC